TAGGCCAAGGCTACTCAACTTTGGAAGCTTTGGGGGCCACAATGATACTCTCAGCACATGTCAAGTGTGGTTGCATATACATGCAAATAGCTTATTTCATACTGATGGGCACGAATACAAAGCTCTTCTCACAATGTCCCGGCGCTCCAGCACCCCTGTACCCATCTGTTCCAGGCAGCCTGTCCACTTGCATCTTTCAATGCCTTCGAGACCCTTTGCTGTTGTGCAGCATGTTCCCAGTGGAGGCCATGTTCAAAGGATCCCACCTGTGGGCATAAACCCAAACCACCCCAAGGACTGCAAACAAACAGGCTGCACGTGGCCCGCGTGTTGAGTAGCCCTGTTGTAGGCCAAGCCATTCATGAAATTCAAGTAAAAAAGAAGGAAAAAATTAAAAATCAAGGACAAAATGTTTTGAAAAATTAACTTTTCCTGATTTTTCCCTCAAAACTTCCCTGCAGATTTTTACCTTGGGATGAGATATGACATTTTTCCTGACAGTTTTTTTTTGCAGAAGTTTTTTTCGGGGGAAAAAGTTTAAATATATATATATAAATTAATAAAGAGAGGCTAGCTTCATCCTTAAGTAAAAATTGACTATTGCCACACCATAATTTAACTCTGGATATTTTCTAGCACTCTGCTTCAAAAATTTGTAAAGAGTGCATTCCAATAACACTTCTCAAGTGTTTCCTCCTTCATTTCCTATGTGCTTACTGCAACGTAATCTGTGTGGGTAGCAGCTGACTGAGCTTTGGGTTTTTCTTAAATTCCCTGTTTAGGAACTGTATTTCTTTTGGCACAAGTATATGAGGTGACAAAGATTCAGCAAATGAAAACACAGAAGAGGTTCAAAATGAAGGACAGATGTTACTTGTGCTATATAGGCTGCCCATATAATTCTAGACTCCTTGCTGCCTGGCATTAATGTCCTAAGATAAGACTAACCAACCTGGCACTATGCCTTCCAAATAGATGGACATAAGTCTGGCTATCCAGACTAAGTACTGTATTCAAAGGAAATGTTAAAAGCTCTCCTGACACTGCATTATGGATCTCTGCCATATGGGGAGTAGGAGGAAGAGAATGCAAAGCTTGTTTCATACATACGGGGCAATTAGTTTGACTAAGAGAAACTCAGAAGCTAAATTCTCCTAAAACTTGTGACTCTCCCCGGTAGGTCTTATTTTAATGAACAGAACAATGGTCTGCAGCCTGACAAGATTGTCAAATAGCTGTCATCCAATCTTGGTTATGCAACAATCTCTCAATGTTTTTTTTTCTTCTCTTAGTATACTAATTATTCTTAGGTAATCGTTATGGATTTCACACTAAAGACAGCAAAAGTCCCTGCCCAACCCCATTTATCACTTAACTACTTAAACACGGTGTTTAACTGCTTAACTAAACAAACGGGATTTTATATCCCTGCAGTTAAACACCATGTTTAAGTAGTTAACTAAACAAACGGGATTTTATATCCCTAACATTCATGTAATAGGGGATCTGCTTCTAGGCCACCTCCATCCTTGGTTGGTAGAATTTGATCCCAGTTACAAGTCACTTGGGAAATGGTGTTCACTGGAACCTCTTTGTGACAGTCTCATGACACATTCAAAAGGATAAGACACTGTTTGCAGACAATGGTAACATGTAGATTTCCATAGCACGACTCAGTCAACTGAATGTTACCTTAAGACTGACATACATCACATACAGGAGCTACTTGAACTCACAATGTATCTCTAACAATGAGCAGAGGGACAAAATGATGTTAAATGTGGAAGGGTTTCTCATAAAGCCTGACAGTTGGAGGTGACACATCCAATGCAGCAGGGGCTTCAAATGGTCAACAGAACATGCGCAAATACCTTCTCTGGAATGGACAAGATGTTTGGCAGGGCCCATCACATCACTGGCAGGGTGCTGGTTGGTCCAACCCTCCATGGGGGATGGCTGCTGTGGCCCAGCTGCAGTTTGGACAGGACCAGTTAACCAGTTACCAGATAAGCATGCCAGTAAGGCTAAAGCATACTGGGTAACTGGTTAGCCTTTTAAATCCCTAGTTGGAGCTATGCCATCAGAAATGAAGGCTAGACTGAAATATCACCTTGGGCCTTATATAAGGTGGACAGATCCAATCAGAACCCTGAAAATGATGACTAATATAGGCATCAAAGATGCAAGTCAACAGCTGTGCTTACCTATCCTAGATGAAAGAAGCCGCTGAAAAAGACTCAATGGCTCAGGTCACATGGTGTAAAGCCAGCATTGGTAAACCCAGAAAAGGTTTGCTTATGGTGTCTGTCTCTCAAGCCAATGGGATGAGGTAGTCTTTGGGACAATCATTCACTCTTGCTTTTGATCAACATAAATAATCTAGTGATCAGCACCAGGATTAAGTCCCCCGGCTCTACTATCAGCTGCAGACACCCTCCTGGTGCCGCCTTTCCCCAGTGCACTTAAGATCTTGCACCAAAGTATTCCCAGGGACGCACATCCTCTGATGTCAGCAGGCATGTCTGCAGTATACCGAGACAACATATTTAATGCAGGGTTGTATTAGAGTAACTGTTTACATTGTTAACTGATAAGCCAGGGCTTACTGGTTACTGTGAATGGTTACATGTAGGCTCCCTCCCCGCTCCCAGAGAGCCTGTATATGTGGGAGCCGGCTTAAAAGACTCCACAGTGCTGCCTCTAATACAACCCTTACAAGCTGCAACCCAGAGTTTGAAAACCCCTGATCTAAGGTACTTATATGCCCCTACCCCCTTACCACAGTATCTAAGCAAGTTGTAATCTTTAAATGTATTTATCCTCATAGCACCTATCTGAGGTAGGAAAATGCTCCATTTTAAAGATGAGGAATTCAGGTACAAAAAGCTTTTAGGTGTTGCAATGCCTAACTAGGGAGCTGCCCAGAAAATCTTGGGCACAAGACTGGGATGTACAAAGCTTCAGTCAGGCATCCTGTACCCTGTCCCTCTCACTGTCAGGTACTGAAATCCAAGTGTAAGGAGATAACTATTTCTGCTTGCAATTTGCAGCCAGGAACCTATCTCCTGGAGTCAGGCATCTTAGATGCCTATCTTGCTTTTAATGTGAATGAGTTAGATACCTGTCTCACAAAAATGACAGTGGAGGTGTCCACCCTAAGTTCTTAGCCCTATAGACAGAACACTCATTGGGGATCTGGGTATAATTCCTCCCTCTATTTGAGGGGCAGAAAGGATGTGAATGGGAGTCTCTAAAGCTTTGTTAATATTATACTTTTTAAAACATTTCTAAACTGGTCCTTGGTCAGGGCAGCCCATGACAACTTTTACAGGGAGCAGGGTCATGGTTTTTTTCACTTCTCTCTGCAACAAATAAATTATATGAACGTGAAAGGGTTAAAAGCACCTCATTTTGTTAGAAGAGTCATATCTTGGCTAAATTACTTTAAATTTGCATTACAAACTATCACCAAATTCCGGTTATAAAACTCTGCATACAAGTTTTAGAGATTTTGAAATAGATTGCTACTTATTAGGAGAGCTGGATCTGAAGAAACCCTTGACCAAATGATCCCTACTTGCATCCCCAATTCTATTGCTGGCCATGTCTGCATGTGAATTTTAGAGCACTTTTCATTATCAGTATTTAAAACAAAAAGCTTTGCTCTCAAGCCCAAACTTCTCAAGAGAGCCTTTTACAGAGGCCCAGCCCCTAACCACAACACAAGTAGACAGTAACCTCAAATTTTCTAGGGAGAGGATGTTGTTTGGGATCAATTGATACAGCGTGTTACCTGAACTTGAGAATAACTGATATAAGGTTGGACTCACTTAATCAAGTATGCAACATTACATACATAAAACATTTTTTTAGAGTCACATAGTCTTGTTTCTAATGCAAAATACACCTGAAATAAAGATTGTGTTATGGTTTGAAGCTGTGCTCGTATCTGCTGGTAGGGGTCATCAACACAGATGCAGATACTCCTTTTTCCACATTGTGCCCAGTCTACCACTTGTTCATTTGCGTGCATCCATCCATCATGCTGGTTTTACAGCAACTAGCCAGTCATCTTCCTCTTCCACTAAGGAGCCTTTTTCAGAATGGTACATATAAAACATCATAGTTGCCCATGGGATCAACTTTTCAGTGGAGGCTATAGCATAGATGGGTCTCAAGTTACCACATTTAATCACATTCTGGGAAGGGCTAAATATCAGCTTCCATCAACAGAGGAAATGAATTATGAGTTCAACATTTCCCTACTGCAAATACACCAATCTTGAAATTGGGGGTTTCTTTCTGTGTCTGAGCTATAAGCCAAACACCCTCTAGTCTTTACAACTGCCCCAGAAACTCACATACCGAATCAGTTCCTGCTTTAACCAATAATGTTGTAATTTCTGCCTTTCTATGAGCTGACTCAAGTGGTGGTCCTGACTCAAGACTACCTAATACTTAAAAGTTTACCAACCTGACTATTTCGATAAGGAAATCCTCGCCTCTAACCAAAGTAAAGTAGCTATTCCAGTAAAAGCCCTATCACAGACACAAGTTAGACTAGCAGAGAATTTCAGAAGGGTAGCCATGTTAGTCTGTAACTTTAAAAAACGAGTAGTCCTGTGGCATCTTAGAGGATACCATTATATGTTTATATAATGTATGAATGAGAAAGAGAATCATGAGCAAAACCAACTTCCTTTGTTCATCTGACGAAGTGGGCTGTGCCTACTGAAGCTCATGATACTATCTATCTTTATTTGTTGCTCTCCAAGCCCTGGTCTATGCTATTTCTAAATAACAAGCAGAGCATCCACACTATTAAGCCCATTATTTCAAAATAAGGGACTGGCTATTTTGAAATGATGACGCCCGCTTTCCACCAGGAATAATGCTTATTTCAAAATAGTCATTTTGAAATAGCAGTAGCACGGACACTCCATTGTCTGTAACCACACCACTTTAGAAACTAGCAAAAAACAGAGATAGTATCATGAGTTTTTGTGAGCACAACCCACTTCGTTCATCTGAAGAAGTGGGCTGTGCCCACGAAAGCTCATGATACCATCTGCATGTTCCGTTAGCCTCTAAGTCTAAGGTGATGCCGAGACACTCGTTCAAGTTTGTGCATTTTTAAAATAGTACAGTTATGCTGGAATAGCCTATGTCCCTTCCCAGCTACATCGCTCTCCTGATGCAACGGGGCTGCGGCGTGAGGGGCAGGACGCCGGGCAGCGCTGCGATGCTGGCTCGCTTGGCAGTCACTGGCAATAGGAGCGTTGGGACCTCGGGGACGGGGCGAGGGGAAGAGCCGCTCACGCCCTTAGGAGAACACGAGCCAGAAGCAGCACCC